AGTGTCACTGTGATGTTTTATTGTAAGTCAGTGTCACTGTGATGTTTTATTGTAAGTGATTGTCACTGTTTATTGTAAGTCAGTGTCACTGTGATGTTTTGTTGTAAGTCAGTGTCACTGTGATGTTTTACAAGAAACATACTTTAGTGTCGTGCAGTTCAATAACGCAGGATTTGCATTTTTTTTTCACCTACATACTGTATTTAATATTTGATTGTATCAAAGATTTATGTGTTTCGCTTTAAATCAAGCATTACAAAAGTCGCAGATAATATCATATTATATAACATACTACTATTCGATAAATTATAAAAGAACGCATTAAAAACTAACGCCTTGGTGCTATCCATACTATTTTATGTATCTAAAGGCACCAAATCCAAGGTATGACGATGAATTGTGTAACTTCGCAATGTCAATGTCCAAGTAAGATGGGAAAACAAATGTGTACTTTTTCGTGTTAAGATGGCGATGAAAGATTCGAATTTAATTTTCACATTAAAGAGTTAGTTACGGTCCGTCGCTTCTTGCACATAGTGTAATGTTGTCGACACGGGCGGAGAGCTCCTGTGTACCGTACACGGACACTGTACCACTGGAAAGTACACTACATCTGAGTGATGATCATTGCATAATATAATAATCTACAACATGGAAAAAACACGGAATTATGTCTGTAGTTATACAGCCGAGGAAGTATCCTGTTCGTATCAATACATTCTCTGGTAACGATTTGACTGCATTAAAACACTGTTTCTGGTACCGGCTTAGGTGGTTCATATCAAAATAAGTTTGGTACTTTCTTTATCTGATCATGTCAACATATTTCCTGGAAATGTCCAGTATTTAAAGCACAGTATCAATAACCTTCATCATTCATTTTGATTTTGGGTTTTGGAACTAAGGTATGTGAGACGTTCCGTTGTTTAACTATTATCAAGATCGTAATACACACGTTCAGTTGTTGCACCATGAGTAACTAAACACATCACTATATGTATGAAGTTTTGTATTAGTCCGAGGATCGTTACGGCCAATATATTACTAGGATAGACATTAAATATATGCATGGGTTCATAAACACAGAATGATCATGATGATAATAGTGGCAAAGACGATGACTGCCGTGTTAACGAAGAAGGCGATCCAGTCCATGGCGTTAGCAACATCTGCCCACGTAGGGATCATCTCTGCAATATTATCGAGCATGACTGTCCCGGTGTCGGACGACAAGGGTTTGCGCTCGGAATCACCATTGACATTGACATGTTCAAACTTCTTTTCACTTTGATAAACAGTTGATCGAACTAAAAATCCGACATGCCTCCATATGAATTTTGCCCATCCCGGCCGTTCCTCGTTCGGGTCCTTCAGATAGAGGCGAAGAATAACGACAGAGCAGGCGACACAGAAGACTGACACACATAACGTCAGGGCGAGATAAAACGCTGAAAAAGTGATATCTAGAGTTGACAATGTGATACAAAGTTAAAAAATCAACACTGAGGGAGTTAGCTAACTAGCTGTAGCGATTGTTTTCTTACAAATAAACCTAACGAAAGTAACAAAATATATATGATAAAAACGGTTTAGAGTTGCAGAGCTTATTTACAAATTATTTACATAGCTGTTTTCGAAACAATGAGTCAGACAACAGAGGTATTTTATCAGTTTTATTAAAACTATGTAAAAACATATCGCATCTATGTTAAAGACTCTATTACCATATGCATATCGTAATTTTTAATACTTATTTTTTTTATATTGTTTGGTTTTAATAAATCCTGAGTGTAGCGCCGAGTCTATTAGTGGGAAGGAAGGTGTAAATTAAGGTGAAAAGTACTTTTGAGGGATGCCCTATTGCCAAGATTATTACGGTGTTTAGTACAACATGTTGTATTAACATTCAACACGTGTCAATTACTGTAAGTCAACAACAATTCAATACCGAGTGACCAAATAGACATTATATCTTTACAGCAACTTCCAATGCATACTTACACAACACTGATAGATGCAACGATGTGTGCGGCATGCTGTCCGCGATCATGGTCAGCAGAACCGCTAACGCCAGCAAAATGGTCAGTGCGTAGCCGATCTTCTCCCCCGAGTCGTTAGGGATCATGAAGACCAGTACATTTAATATGGCAGTCAATGTAACTGGAAGTATGATATTAGTCACATAAAAAGCCCTCTTTCGTTCTAGTTTCATAATGTATCTCAGCATTGCGTATTTCATTTGTCCAGATGGTGTTGTTTCGATAATGACGTCACGATCAACACTAGAACCGAGATAGGTCCATTCACCATTAGGACTGAAAAATAAAATAGCAATGCTTTAATTATTAGGTTTACTAGAATGCACTTATGCAATTTTTTTTATAACATTCAAGTGATAAGAATTAATCCTAATTAACATTTTGATATAAGCATTAGGAACCTTTGAACACCAATGACTGGTTATGTTGTAATCACGTGACTTGACAGGGTATCAGATGGATGTTAAATCGCTCACCTAAGTAGCCGGGCGTTGACTTCTGGCAACAGGTGCATGAGGTCCAGCTCTTCGATGGTGTATGCCCAACTAGTTAGCTCTAGGACACATGTCTGGGTGTCAAACGGAAATGACGTCACGTCGACATTACAGGTGATATGGAATATACGGGGATAGTCTAAGTCGACCCTCCCAGTATGAGTTACTCTGAGGAAGAGATTTTCATCGTAAAGAACTGACACGTCTTCCACTCTGAAATGATAATAACACAGTTATACATGTACTTAATATTTTGGATCTAAATGTTCCGGATCTAAAATATTCATCATAAACACGGTAAATGAATTATGTAGTGTTACATCACACAATCTTTAGGATATATATAGCATAGATATTTGAATATAACATGTGAGAATATATGCTTACAATTGAATTCAGTGTAATATATCACTGAGGTATTAATACGGTAGGGTGTGTTGAATCACACTAAAAATATCTTACACTAGCAAAGTATACTGCATGACGTAGATTGTAATAGCTGATTTGTTCAAATTAATAGGTGGTATGTTACATGTTAATGTTACACAGGCAGAAGATTTATATTAACGCTGTGGTGTATGGTTTTTGTGTAAATATTTTAGGAGCATGCTCTGTGAAAAGCACAACAAAAGCCAAAAAGAAGTATACTGAGCATAACTGATTTCCTTGTTGTCAATAACTTTTTTGCGCTCAGTAGCAGGATTGTTCAGCAGACTGTAGACACCCAAAGGGAACAAACTATGCCCCTCTTTTTGCCTAATTGGGTTTCTTTTCATACAAAACTGAGCTTTTTATGAGCTGACCATGACTGTTAACAAAAACCTAGCCAAATCTTTCAATTTCACATTCAGATATATCGACAACGTGCTGTCTTTGAATAACAATACATATAATAACAATACATATAATAACAATACATATAATGACAATACATATAATGACAATACATATAATGACAATACATATAATAACAATACATATAATGACCACATCGATCTTATAAACTCTCCTGAGATTTAACTCAAAATCACTACAGATTCTTCTTTCTTCGATATTTACTTGCAACATGACCAACATGGAAGGTGTACTACTAAGTTGTACGATAAAAGGGACGATGTCGACGTTCCGATCGTTAACTTTCTTGATAGTTACACCCCTGCACCCCTACTTACGAGGTTGTCATGTCGCAGTTGCAAAGATTATTACAAAAACTTACAACGCAAGGTTTTCAATAATGCATGTTGATGAAAACTATGTATAAGTTAAACGGTCACCATCAGTATCTCATATGGAAATATGCTGTATCTTTGTGTGATATGAACTTCGATCTTATTCACTATGCTCATCAGTGAGCCTTGTGTTGTATGTTTTAATGTTAACGTTGTGGTTAATGTTTTAGGTTGACGTTTTGATGTGTGTTTTTCTACTTTGCCATATGTAACGGACATGGTATATATCAATAGTAAAATCACATTTGTTTCTGTTTTGTCCTGCCTAACCTACAATTGTTGTTCGTTATAACCGGTTCAGGACCTACACGGGCTCAGTAGACACTGTAGTCTTTACACGTTATCCTAACAATCACCACAGTTTTATCTAGACAGTTAAGTAAGGTAGGGACAGCCATGCATATTCAATATGTTCATTCCGTACGGCTCAATATCTTTGACAATAATCTTATCCAAAATTCGGTTTAGAAAAATGCATTTTAATATTTATGTTCAATAGAGAAATTTGTTTCCTGTCCTTTCATCTTCGATAGCGTAGTTCTATTGATGCTATCGCATAAGACATTAACGTATGTGCAATAAAAAACCACTATGTAGGTATTCACGTATTGCCATCAATTACAATGTTACGGAAATGTAACGTTATTTAGATCTTGATAATTCTTCTGATTCAGATTGTCTGTATCCTGTTATTTCACAAATAAACCGTTCCCGATTTATCCCCTCTCAGATCAAAACCGCACTACCAAAGAGTCGTAGATGACAGATTTTGCTAATCTCGCAAATCTAAATAATGAAAGGAGAAGCTGCAGTTTGCGTGTACTTCTTGTGTTAAATACAAAGTATGTTTAAATACAATTCAGTAACGAGTAGAGGGGTCTTAGGGTCATGCCTTATCACACTGAAACCATGAACATAGCTGTTTCATATCATGCATGTACCACGTAGGCAAGGTAAGGACCCTTTTATTGATCAACAATGAGGAATTTGGACTACAGACCACGTTCGTGCCCCAATTAATGTTTTACTTCGTACTTTATGTAGCGCTGCTTGGCATAAATAATAAAACCACATTTTAAAGAATGATAGCAATAAGTCGCTTTGTCCGTCAATGCTTTCGCCTGCCTTCATATTTTAAACTTTCTATGTACATCACGACATGTATCTTCTCCGTAGAAGCTACTTGTTATACTCATCATGCAGATCGTATACAATTCCGTGTAAAACGTTCCCTATTGTGAGTTCACTGCCTTTTATATTTCTTAACTACATATTTACATTTGCATGGCATTGTCACTATATAGGCTATTTGAAAGCTGTGTCATTGATGTGGCTTAAAATACCATGCACCACGAGATATAATTCTTCGCGTATTAATACAACACCGACCGGAACTACAATATCCAATGTAAACAAACATGACGGCTGCTGAAATATCGCTGGACATCATGAGAAATGACAATGTAATTGTAATTGTGTAAAAGAAAAGTAAATATTAAAAAAAAAAACGTATTACAACAAAAACAAGACCAAGGTCTGCAATGTCGTACAAAATGCACATCGGTTTAAATAACCAATGCCGGCAATGGAAAAATGTTTAACACTCCTGCAATTTATCAAAAATCTCGTCTGTTACACTGAACTGATCCACAGGGATTCGTTACAAATGTCAGAAATACGTTATATATGTTATAGACCTATTGATATGAGTCACAGCACACATAAACATACACAAGGCATATGTGTCTTTCAGACTTCATTATCTAACACATTATCAATACAATTAATACATAGAGTATCGCACCATTTAATAAACCTAACGGCATATACTGTCGTCTGTTTCAAAAGTTACGTAAAACCAAATTAGGCAACATAGACATTATTCCATACAACATGACCTATGTTAACGGTAGGGTTGTTGCCTAATTATCGCTTCGCATGGTTATTTGTCTTCAAGCCAGAGCTGCAAGCCAACAACCTACGCTGCACCGTTTAAATAATTACATATAACGTATTTCACATTGGGGATTTTTTGGAGATATTAAAACAACGTTGTATGAAAGCTTTCACAATTTCAATAGAATGTCCTAATCGTATAACTATGTGATTTTTACATGGAATAAATCATTGATACTTGTCATTGCACCTGTCACAACATATGCTATTGCATGATTCAGTGATATTTAACTGGCAAGTCATCATAATCCATTGGACCTCAGCTCGATGCCTAAATTAGAACGTCAGAGGTTTTATTGAAATAACTGGTTGTGAGAACAAATACAATGTCTTTAGATAATAATGTTATACGTACGAGTTGTCGATGAAGAGTTCAGGGATCCAAATTTCGCCGAAAGTAGAATACACGTGATCTGCGTCATAGGTTGCATCAGGTGTCCATGACAACCGTTCGTCATTCCATTCCTTTAGCCAATGAAACAACAGACTTCCACTGATGATATGTTCAAATTCAATAACGAGTTATCATTAAATGATTCCGAGCAAAGGAATTGGATGAACAAATTATACATTTGTCACTGATAATAGTCTTCCGATGGCATATGTTCAAATATAAGGCAGGCTATTTAAGATTACGGAGAGGACAAAATAATGAGAGATAGCATATACTACAATGCCCGACCAAGTCGCAAAATATACACAAACAGCATTGCTACTTACCACTGTTAGCCAGCCCGTCACAGAGAATTGCTGCGCCGTGTTATCCTAAAATAGACATTGTTATAATGAATATTAACACGCAAAATATTATTCTTACTTTATAAAAATAGAAACATCTTGCACCTTTTTAGAAAAGTATTAAACACATTTTGCTAAGTAAAACTTAAACAAAAATACGACACCAACAACAAAATACTACAAATAGAAATTAATCAAGTGTATTGCATCCATTCTCCTTACAAAACCAAAATTGACGTTTTAACATATAAGATCATCGTTTAACTGAATACAATAACCAGGTCACAAGGTCACATTGACCTTATCAATAATGTGAGGATGAGGACAGCTATTACTGTCGTCTTACCACTTCAGTAAAGGTGAAGCTGCAGGAGTGACCTTGACATACACAATCAATGGATGAATCTTTTTCAGTGACCTTGACATTTACAAGTATTTTGTTCGTGTAGTTGAGTTGAATTGCTATTATTGAATCTGTTTGAGTTCCCATGAATTTACTATACGATTTAGGAGCTGTTTAGAGGTACAATGGTGTCACTAGTCTATGGTTAGTGTTCGAGCTGTATTCCTTACCAGTCCATTTATGGTAAGAATGCTGAGGCCAACCTTGGTCTGTACTGTCGCGTTTGGACGTACGAGGTAGTGGTACGTGTCTGTCTCTATGTAGTCCTGTCGTACGGCCATTTCTCCATTCGCTGACCAGCCTAATACTACAGGGCTACCTGTAAATGTGACCATAGCAATTGTATATAATGTATTCTTATTAACCATATCTTGAATGTTAATGTTATTGTGAAATCAACAAATACCTGACATCATCGTTGCCCCAGAATGGTCTCATTATATTCCATTACCATGGCCAGCAATGATCACAAAATGATACAATACGAAAAAAGCCAGTTGATGACTTGTTTGTGGGAGGTGGAGAATTTCGTATTACCTAAATCACTACTGTATAATGCAAAATTTGCGTTGAAGTTGTATTTTTTTTACCTTTTTAGCCTTCCCCTATATGAGGATGAATTTATCTTGAGAGCGGACATTAGTTCACAGCATAAGCATACTGTAGCAATTACATGTAAATGGGGAAATTAACACAATACCAATATTACCGGTTATTGATGATCATTTGAATGGTATACAGTATATCAGATTTAACACATGTATGACAACTCAATCAGAAGTAGGTATTTATTTATTAACTAAAACAAACGGTAAAGGAACATCATACTCTTAATCCATAATGACGAAGTTTAATTACATAGATTTAACAAAAACTACATATCATCTTAATAATCCGTGCTAATTTTCATACAAACAGGTATATATGTACGTGAATTAATTGTGAATGAAATTATAATACACATATACCAATACGTACCAAACTTATATGGTCATGTAAAATAAACCAGTACTTTCCATTTCACTTAACGATGGAGAAAATAGTACATGACATTATCTAGCATCAATTTGTTTTCAAATTTAATATAGGAAACCGACACTCGCAGGTATATGCAAATTTCGTATTTCCTTCCCACATTAAAAGAACACGAATGTCTTTGTTCACATCAATCTACATCTGGAAGTCTTCTGACCCTGTGTAATATCATATAAAGTCACTAGAAAACAAATCAATGCTCGACGTATTTACTGTTTCAAACAAAGCTGGCCCGTCTAAAAGCACATGTTTATGCATGTTTCACTTACAGTTTAATACAAACAAGTGTACCTTACCTGTCAATAACACGGATAGACAAACATACGCAATCTCCATTATAGCAGTCTAAACGGACAGGTGTGTCTACTGGGCATTCATGATGGTTTCCATTCCGTAAGTACAAACACCTGATGATGGTTTTTCTCCCAACTCCCTACAAAAGACAGCGTTCAGTCAGTTCGTGCCTCATCCACCGTCACTGTAAGTGAGTTACCTGTTATCACTGCACTGAAGCACACGTATACCACACAGTAATGCACCAATAAGACATCAAAGGAGACGAGCAGGCCCATCCAACCCTCTAATGAAAGAAAGTAAGCGAGTAATGCTGGTTCGTAATTCTATTTTGTTATATCCTTTTCGACTGCTTTGTCGTAAACATTAAATTATAGTATGTCTTTTCTAGCTTTGATGTGGTAAGTGGCATAATGTAAGTTATGTTATTGTGTAACGAAACGGCGAGTCGTACGTGTGAAAACAACCGAATGGAATTCAGAGACTAGATGACTAGTTTGTGGTTCGGAGTCAGCTATTGTCATGTAGTACTAGTCAAGACTGTTTACTCATAAAGTACAAATATTCTCGCAACTCAGACAGAGATATCCCCCGTCATACCCCTTGCTAGATTTTCCTATCTCGTCCGATCTGTCTTGTACCTTTATGTGACATTTCGCGGCATGTTTACACTGCGATGTATTCATCCGCGCGTTAACTGCTTAAAATTAATAATTTGCAGTATAAATGTTCTGTTTTGTCGCTATATGAATAGTTTTGATGTTGTTAGATATTTGAAGTTGTAGATAAAATATAATCTACACTTTGAAATACATTGTAATCTATGTAAGGACAGACTTCATTTTTACCCAGAAGCGTTGAAATGTAGCTTAAGTAGTGAAGAGGTCATTGCCATTTGAGGCCCAAGGCGGGATACAAAAACATGTACTTAGCAAATTAAATAGTTTTTCAAACTAAAAGGTCCGAGAAATAAAATCAATTACCTGTAATAGAGCAAGATCGGGTTATCTCAGCCTCCGGTTAAGATTCTGTAACATCCCAACCTCGGCTTACGCCTCGGTTGGGATTTTGATACAGAATCTTAACCCTCGACTGAGATAACCCGTTACAGGTAATAGATTTTATTAATCACAACATTAGCCTATAATGTCTTTAATACCTTAACAGTAAATAAGAAAATTAATCAAAATGATATATTTGCTGTCTATATATTTATATTCGAAAATTAAATAACTATACACAAACCATATCCCATTCTTGTAGCTAGCACAAAAAAAACCATCATACCCATTAGTCACAAATATACCATACCCAACTAAAACAAATAAATTATACCCTATTTTTAATAATATACTAAACATCACTACTACAAAATATATAATACTGCCTTATAACAAATATATCACACCCCACCACTACAAATATACATGTATACTACTCTACTATTTCAAATATATCATATCCCACTATGACAAATAACGCATACTCTATTAATACAAATAAATAATACCCCACTTTTACAAATATATTATACAACATTACTACAAATATTTAATACTCAACTGCCACAAATATACACGTATCATACCCCACTACTACAAAACATCATATCCCTTATGACATATATATAAAACCCTATTATTACAAATACATTATGCCTCCATATCCAAATTAATTATAACCCACTTTCACTAACAATTTATTTTCCCCCATCACATATTGGTCTTAAGTTCCGTCGAGGTAACCACGTAATATGGAGAGAAAAAAGAAATATAATGCAGCACAGTTACAATCAATTGTCTACACACCAACATCGTATACCTAGTTACAATCCATTGTCTACACACCACCATTTTGTACCCAGTTCCAATCCATTGTCTACACACCACCATTGTATACCCAGTTCCAATCCAGTGTCTACACAACACCATTGTATACCCAGTTACAATCCATTGTCTACACACCACCATTGTATACCCAGTTACAATCCATTGTCTACACAACACCATTGTATACCCAGTTACAATCCATTGTCTACACACCACCATTGTATACCCAGTTACAATCCAGTGTCTACACACCACCATTATATTCCATGTTACAATCCATCGTCTACACACCACCATTTTATACCCATTTACAATCCATTGTCTTCACAACACCATTGTATACCCAGTTACAATCCTTTGTCTACATACCACCATTGTATACCCAGTTACAATCCATTGTCTACACACCACCATTTTATACCCAGTTACAATCCATTGTCTACACAACACCATTGTATACCAACTTACAATCCATTGTCTACACACCACCATTATATTCCATGTTACAATCCATCGTCTACACACCACCATTTTATCCCCATTTACAATCCATTGTCTTCACAACACCATTGTATCCCCAGTTACAATCCATTGTCTACACAACACCATTGTATACCAACTTACAATCCATTGTCTACACACCACCATTTTGTACCCAGTTACAATGCATTGTCTACACAACACCATTTTATACCTAGTTACAATCCATTGTCTACACACCACCATTTTATACCCAGTTACAATCCATTGTCTACACATCACCATTTTATACCCAGTTACAATACATTGTCTCCACAACACCATTTTATACCCAGTTACAATCCATTGTCTACACAACACAATTTTATACCCAGTTACAATCCATTGTCTGCATACTACCATTAAATACCCAGTTACAATCCATTGCCTACACACCACCATTGTATATCCAGTTACAATCCATTGTCTACACATCACCATTGTATATCCAGTTACAATCCATTGACTACACAACACCCTTTTATACCCATTTACAATCCATTGTCTACACAACACCATTTTATAAATAATTGTATTTAACGTGTGGTCTTTATTAATATATAGAACAGACAATTCCAATGGATGGTTTTTGGCATCCAATATTACCATAATGACATCAACAAATGGACCATGACCTGCATAACTGTTATGAACACTTTTTGAATTAAGTAGGATTATATAGTGACAGTGTAATAAAAAGAAAGGGTATCACTTCGCCCAGACAAAAACCTGTATATCAGTGAAAGTAAAATAACGGTCTTGTAGTACATTGGTATAGGGATAGCTGATGAACGGTACACTAACAAGTAAAGCCATCCAATCAGAAAAGTTTGTGATGGCCTTAGATAGCCAAAGGATCTTTCACGGAGCAAGTGTTTGGAAACGCAATATTTCTACATACATATTTTTTATTCTAAAACTATTTAACACATTTTCACATTATGAAAAACGATAGAAGAAACAGCATGTAAATAGCATCGCTACATTTATCAAATAGAAGCATATCAAATAATAACAAAGACCGAAAATTAATTTCACTGTTTGGTTTTAATTAATTATATATACTGAGTAAGTTGTGGCGAATAATGGCCAAGTACTTCGACCTTACGACAGCTAGAAAGATGGAGGAAACTGGGACCAGGATATTCCCCCAAACTCAATAGCTGAAACTATTTGACTATAAATTTCAATAAGACTTAACTTACAAGTCTGTAAAAAATCAACAGCAATCTGTTGTCGAAGATAAAATCAGCTGCGACAGCCAAAAAGATGGAGGAAACTGGGACCAGGATATTCCCCCAAACTCAAAAGCTGACACTTTTGCATAAAAATTGTCCAAAGTCTCGAATTTGCACAACTGTAATGAACACATGGCAGCAGTCTTTTGTCCAGGAAAAAATCGTCCTGCACCTCCAACATAGTGGTCGAAGTCTTGACAAGTGGAAGGAACTTTCTGCGAATATATAACAGGCAGACACACAGCAGAAGGAAATCGTAAAATAATGGGAAGGGAGGGTGGGATTAAAAAGGCTTAAAGGTTTCTGAATACTCGTGATGGCTGCTCAAAGGAAATGGTAAAGAACGATAACTCTAAATTCCGAATAAAGGGAAATAACTCTCATGCTCAGAAACAAAGACGCAAATATCAGGAATATTGTACACAACATTTTTAAACTACTGAATATGGCGTATGTCTTCATATGATAAATTAAATTATATTTTAGGAATAATTTTTATTATCAAATAGAAGCATATCAAATAATAACAAAGACCGAAAATTAATTTCACTGTTTGGTTTTAATTAATTATATATACTGAGTAAGTTGTGGCGAATAATGGCCAAGTACTTCGACCTTACGACAGCTAGAAAGATGGAGGAAACTGGGACCAGGATATTCCCCCAAACTCAATAGCTGAAACTATTTGACTATAAATTTCAATAAGACTTAACTTACAAGTCTGTAAAAAATCAACAGCAATCTGTTGTCGAAGATAAAATCAGCTGCGACAGCCAAAAAGATGGAGGAAACTGGGACCAGGATATTCCCCCAAACTCAAAAGCTGACACTTTTGCATAAAAATTGTCCAAAGTCTCGAATTTGCACAACTGTAATGAACACATGGCAGCAGTCTTTTGTCCAGGAAAAAATCGTCCTGCACCTCCAACATAGTGGTCGAAGTCTTGACAAGTGGAAGGAACTTTCTGCGAATATATAACAGGCAGACACACAGCAGAAGGAAATCGTAAAATAATGGGAAGGGAGGGTGGGATTAAAAAGGCTTAAAGGTTTCTGAATACTCGTGATGGCTGCTCAAAGGAAATGGTAAAGAACGATAACTCTAAATTCCGAATAAAGGGAAATAACTCTCATGCTCAGAAACAAAGACGCAAATATCAGGAATATTGTACACAACATTTTTAAACTACTGAATATGGCGTATGTCTTCATATGATAAATTAAATTATATTTTAGGAATAATTTTTATTATCATCAAATGAGGAAATCATTTACATTTCACTAAGTTTGGTAATGTTTGATACCGGTATTTGGCTCGGATTTATTTCACACTTCCTTAAGTAGTGCTCGGTTTTAAAGTGAGTTCATAACTGTTCATTTTATTACTTCAGTGCACCTCCTGTGGACTTCCACATTTTATTTGGTACCGACACATTTCCATCGTCTGCTTGGATTTTGTTACACGTGTACTGTCATGAAATCGACACTACATATAAAAACAAACTAATTTATCAAGTCATAGTATGAACATTAGTATATTACAGTGGTAACATTACGAACGCATCCTCCTTCCATTGTTATTATAACCCCGTTCACTTACCGCAACCCCGTTCACTTACCGCTCAGTCATTTAGACTAAATACGTGTATGTTTTCCATCATAGAATTGCATTTATTTATTAAGTTTGCCATTAGTTACAGGTGAAGTTATTCAGTATATTGTAACATGTATAATGTTTATTACAGCAGCAACGAGCCACTCTTCGAATGTGTATCACTGTCAGCCACTGTCTATTGAGAGATTGGGCTATTCAATACCCACGTACGTATGGTCCGAGACTTCAGAGTTTGTCGATCAAAGTTCAGGGTTACAACCCCTTAACGTCTGTTTCTGAATATATTTTGATTAACTCTTGAAGGCTGATGTCCGCAATAGGATCTGCAGGGAAGACGCAACGCAACTTAGTTACCTATTACATCACAGTCATGGACTTTGGCACATAACACAACGTGTATTAATGATACAAAGGCAACGTATGTTATTACTGTTTCTTGAACAATGCAGTTTACTGATTTATAGCAAATGCTTACAATAAAAATTAAGATTTTAATTTGGGTAACAAATAGTGAGCACAAACTAGTAAGATTCACACGAATGACTGACCAACTCGACCTTCCAAGTACAATCTACATAGTGATCACGTTTGTTGTTAATTAATCATGTTTCTTTACAAAGCAGTGGGAAATTAAGTAACGAAATGAGTAGGCGTGTATGATTACCATGGGTAACTATTATAACGTCTAAAAGCGATTACATGAAAATACATATCTATGAGTTTTTATTGTGTTACAACGGGTTGAGATAGCAAAGTAATATAAAAATAATGACTTGTTACCATTTTGTTTTCATAAAAAAGGTGTTTAAGCATAAAAAAATATGTTTCCAATCACAATCATAATGAATGCCAACTGGGTGTGAAGAATTCCGTGATGGTAAAAAGTCCATAAATGTACCATGGCATCCATAGCTGATATGAATGCCATCTGAAGTCAGTAGGATTATACAGTGACAGCGCCTTAGAATACAAATGTAGATAAATATTTAATGAGAAATATGTTTTATTTTCGCTATGGGACAACATCTCGGTGAAGATAGATGGACATGTTACATTTAGCATGGTAGGAGAGAAGCTACTAAGCGGCCTCCTATTCATGGTAGGAGAAAAGCTACTAAGCGGCCTCCTATTCATTAAAATTGTCCAAACGTGAAAGTTGGTTGTGGCCCAAGATTTCCTAACTAACGCCTTTTGGCAAACAGTTCATGAATGACACCAATGACTGGTCAAAATCATACCCATTAGTCCATCACACTAAGGAACCCCATATACCACCAATACGCATTTAATTATTGCAAAGCTGTCACAGGTGCAAGGGTTGTGGGTATACTCCAGGCGGGAGTGTCGCAACGTCAAGGTGTATCTAGGGGAAAGTGCTGTGGTATACTCCAGGCGGGAGTGTCGCAACGGCAAGGTATATAGGGGAAAGGGTTGTGGGTATACTCCCGGCGGGAGTGTCGCAACGTCAAGGTGTATATGGGAAAGGGTTGTGGGTATACTCCAGGCGGGAGTGTTGCAACGTCAAGGTGTATATAGGGGAAAGGGTTGTGGGTATCCTCCAGGCGGGAGTGTCGCAACGTCAAGGTGTATCTAGGGGAAAGTGTTGTGGTATACTCCAGGCGGGAGTGTCGCAACGTCAAGTTGCGTGACAATTTGGTTGTAATTTGTTGGATCGTCTGTCTGTCCGTCCTCGACGCTTGGTCAGACAATCGGATATGGCTGTGGCACCTGCACCTTTGTCCTTCAAACGAGACCACGAGGACAGTTACGGTGGAGACCACGAGGACAGTTACGGTGTCGTGTTCTAGTGTCTTCACAAACTGTGCGGAACCATTTCGGATGTTCTAGAACGACGCGTTAGGCAGCGTCAAAATCAGCCGTCTGTCTTTCAGAAGCTGGCCTAAGCGAGGACTTACGAGACAAAATTCCCTTTCACTTAAACCTGTTTGACAAGTTCAATGAGACGATGCTGCAATGCTGTTTTCTATGCTCAAGGCCTGGCTTATTCATAATCCATGCTCAAGGTCTGGTTAATTCATAATCCAAAATTGTAACTAATGATTTTAGATAAAAAATCAATTGATTACAGAAAGCTATAGTTCTTTGTTTTCACCGCTTTTGTTTACATCTCAATCCTTAACAGACTAAATTAATTATTTGTTCCGTAACAGCACTGGTTTAAACTATCAATTTTGTCTGAAGTTATGTTCATGTAAATCAGTATATTATTTACGTGTATAACGTACTACATTTACTATAGCCACAAGTCGCTCTGTGAAGACGAAGTATTATAAGCTATTCCGTGGACCTTTTATCTACACATTTATACTCTTCATTGCCGATATACATATATATATATGTCCGAAACTGATAAGAGGAAAGACGCATAGACCTTCAATCGATTCCCGTAGATTCCGAATTTGACAGCTAAATGAAATATGTAATAATAAACAGTAAAACTGCGTCGGGACGTTTGTTTGAAGTCTAGATGTTTCGGTACCGAAGGATATGATGTTTTGGTACATTTTTGTAAAGACGAAAAATTAAATCAGCAAAACACAGGACACAAAAAAACAATGTACAAAATGGGTTTCCAATCGGTACAAGTGCCAAAATCTTAAAAAACATCGAACGACTTTTGGAAAATACTGAGAATTCTGTTCAATATTTTAATGTTTATTACTCGTGTACACCTGGTCATTTTCGCATCAATAGTAAAAGACTTTCTCTTTACAATACATTGTATTCAACACAAACGCTGAAAGTGTACACCACACGACTTGCAGGAACATCTGGGCACAATGATCAGGTGAGCCCCGTCGAGCAATTACAGCATCATTGTTACATACAAATGTGCCTGTAATAATCTAGACTTCCTATATTTTAATAGCAATGCCTTCCAAAAGCTTCTGTTTGAAAACGAATTTCACATAATTGCATCACAACCTTTATTCGTTGCTATTCCAAACATTATGATGTTAACATTTTAGAGTGAAATGCAGTTCAATTTAAAGAGTTATTTGGACGTGTGCGTCAGTGTCTAATATACAAGCCTGTGTATTTTATACAGCAACAGATGATGTCAGCAACATAACGGATATGCGTGTATGAGTCAGTCAATACAATAAAACAACTATCACTCTCAGTACCAATATCTGAACATCATGGCCTTCTTCAAGGACGAAAGTTAACGATGAATTTAAGTTACGTCTATTTTACTTGTTCGGTGTAGGTTTATAATGGGTAACTGTTATAACTTCAAAGGTGATTAATGTGAACGTGAATCTGTGAAGAGGCAGTAAAGAAATACAAAATAACGACAGGTAAAGATATAAAGATAGTATAGACTTGTACTACAATGCCTACACATGTGTTTTACACATTGACAACAATAACAATAATATTGCACTACAATGTAAGCTAGAATTTTACTGAATACTTGAAAACTTTGAAATCGGAAATAAAACATAAATGCATAAAAGCATTTCATAGTCCTTTTGTAGAAATAATTCCACTTCCTCATTAACTGGATGGGTACTCATAAAAAATAAAAACAGGTGAAAAGATAACATGATCAACACCAAGCTATATATGTGAAGCAGGACAATGATAGAATGATAATGAATACAGTTTGTAGTATAAATGCTTAACAAATCCTTTTGATTGTACTGTACCAATCAACTGTTTGGTATTCCGAGAAAAAAACCGACAAAGATAATTTGAAAGCATGCATTGTTTTGTGCCATTTACAAAACTAACAATTCAAAATATGTATTGGATAGAATAAAAAATTGACAGGTCTATATATGTATCAAGAAATACTCATCTTCACTGCTAATATGAAAGCCAGTATCAATCAAAACATTTTTTTTAAACTATCTTGTGCCTAAACACCATATACTTCCGATATAATACACAACAGTTGATTTCCATAGGGAAAAAACAATTGAGTAATTGTCACTCTCAGTCCCAATATGTCAGCCTCCTGGCCTTGTCGATCTTGCTTCTTCGGAGGAGGAGGTTTATTTTCATCTTCCGAAAAAGTAAAATGGACATTAATGGACTTAAATTCATCATTAACTTTCGACCAATGGGAATGAGGGTGACAATTCTTTTATTGTGTATATCTATGGCTATAAGAAATAATAATCATTGAACATGTAATGGTAACACTGCCCTCCAGCGACCCTAACTGCAGCCTCAAAATAAGAAAATAATAATTGTAGATTCGAAGACTGAATTAATCTTATACATACTAAAAGACATGTCCTACTCTTAACATAAATGACTGTCATGAAAAAAAAAATACGAACAAATGTTCAGATGATGACAAGGGAAAGAGTAATTATACTTATAAGTTAAATTGCACTTGGTCAAAAAACGGAAATAAATAAATATAAGAGACTATGTATGCTTTAACAAGTAATAACCTTCAAACCTGGCCTAGATTTTCCAAACAATCCTCAGCTTACGTTTAATTGTGGAAATTTAAGTTAAGGAACAAATCCTAATTATGGTGTCTTGTGAAACCGAAGCCTGTTATCAGGCACCATTATATAACATTACAGCACCTGTGATTTAAACTTACAAAACGTTAAACAATTATGAGAATACTGGCATTGAGCACAACTTAGGGCCTAAACCAGAAGTATTTTCTCACAAAGGCAGATGTACATTTTACCTATTTCAGGTTACCAAGTTTAACATTCATAATTCTCCTTATCAGAGCTTCTATGACTAATAACTGTACATAAGAAGCGAATGCGCCTGTCACTTGCCCTGTAACATCTAATTTTGAATCAAGACTAACTGTATAATGTTTAGTGGTTGAAGGAGCGATAGGAATGTTACAGACTCAACCCTGGAAATATCCAGCAAAGAAAGCATATATGTATATTGAAATACTTAAAGTAACGTTATATACATATCTACAGGCTGAGGAAATAAAACTATTGAAAAACAAAAGGAAAATGATTGGTGAATTGGCAAATATATCTAAGTAAACTTAATAGACAGGCTATCATGCTCTAAATATAATGGGGCATAGGACATGAAATAAATGTGTGTCACTCCCGACATTTCATATAAATGTACACAACTTGTATGAACGTATGTGGAAAAGCGTGGAGCCATGCTCCAAACAAACTTTGGAATAAAAATGAACGAAGGGCTATCATTCTATGGCACTAGAAGCAATTTTGTATGTGACATTCCGTGTTTGTAAGATACATGAGTAAAGCAAGTTTGGTGAATGTAGGTAATATTGTTGATGTTGATGCTATTGACAGCCAGACAGCCAGACAATGCCATAATATGATATATGTTCATCCTGTAGAAGGGCATTAGGAAGCAAGGTATATATATCTAGTCTTTCTTTTCATTATGATTCATATTTTCCAGGACAAAATCTTCATCAAGATCACATTGTGACTATGCCTTTTGAAGATTGCCTTGTTTGTTGGTGTCAGCTTTTACAGTTTTGTCATCCATGGGATTCAGGAACGCTTTTCCTGAGAAGTCGCTCACATTGGTACAGCTCAATATGGCTGAGTTAGGAACCTGTTCCAGAAAAGAAACACAAAGGTACAAATAAAACTATGATGCTATAAATTATATAGAATGTTCCAAAAGTCTTCAAAATCAGTATAGAACTTAACAAGTTTTACTTAAGTTATACACGATATTAGTTTTGAAATGTTTACAGCTTTTCAAATGTTCCACAAAATATAAATTGTTCCATATACAATAAAAGAGCGTTTAAAACTTCTATCATAAAATATACTGGAAATATAACCCTGATTTTATGAAACTATGTTTATAGATACTACCTTCACTGTTGGCGTGTATCTTGGGAAGGGTGCAGCCAGCCTCTCCACTGGGTTATTACTGGCCCGGTTGTAGGCCATGATGAGGGCCCAACGACGGTCATTACTGTCATTAGGGTCACTCATATGTAAGACGTTCGAATGAAAAAACAGGGCATCTCCTGGTTACAAAAGAAAATGTATCGATGAAAATAGCACAACCCCACAGATGAATGGTGTTCATAGTAAATCAAAGATTTTAATTCCATTCTATATATATTAGTCTTTTAGCTCAATGCTCATTCAAAAATAGTAAGCCATATCCCCTCAATTAAAAACCTATGTCTTCAATTTTCTTATAGAAATTTATTTTTGTAAAAACAGATGTCAGCATCCATATCAGTCGAGTATGGGAGTCTCCTACAGGAGAATGATTCTTAAATAAACTAAAATATACAAAAGATACAAATCAAGAAGCATTCCCACATCTAAAGGAATATCTAATAGATATACTTTTATTTTGTACTCGTTTACAATTACTAAGGACATCTTGAATTTAACTATATATATGTTGTCATTTATTACAATATCACATCATAATATGATGATATTATGATGATTAATTTTCTTTTGAGGAACTGTCGTAGCAAAGGGGAGGTAAATCTAAATTGTAACTCCATGTACATTCGTACATGTACGTTGTAGTGCCTTTTTTCAATAATTTTATAATAACCTGACCTTTATGGTTCCTAGGATAAAAACATACATAACTAGTTCTCTGATCACAACATGACATCACAGATTTTTCACAACTGTCAATACTGAATTACCACTATTTACTTTTAAGTGTCATATACTTGTAAACCTTGTGTCCCTACAAGGTATACATAAAGAAAGGAAGAATCGACCACCTACTTATGTACACTTTCTTGAAGACACATTGAGTATAATTTAACTCCTTTGATTCAGAGAGCAAGGGGAACAATAATAACAGCTGAATATTTTTTTCAATGGAATGATTCTGATGTTACTTTATGGCAAAGTATCTTTATTTGCCTTGCTATAATTTTAATGAGTCCTTTTCCATTTATTTTTTTTAAATATTTCACAAGATGTAGATATAACACTTCAATGTTGGATGTTAGAAGATTTGCTTTGTTTTCTTGATTTTCCCCAAGTTGGAGTTTTGTTGATGTTTTCATGGTTTTTTTCTGCCATAAAATAGATATATAGTATATCATAGACCAAAACAGAAAATGTATTGCAGTAAGTTTGATGTTAGGGGCTTAATATTTTGAAAAATTGACTGGACTTAATGGACCTCTGTGACATCACAGTCCCGCAAAACAGTGCTACAGAATCTTGACAAGGCCATAATGCCTATCTTCATAACATACACCACTGCCTTTGCTGCCCTTACTCCCAGAATATCTTACCTGCATCCATTTCCACGTGGGTGAGAGGCAATTGTTTACAGAGCTCTGCTACCCTGTCCAAGTCAGCTCCTGTCTGTCCCGATACCATCTTGTGTTCTATCCGACCGCACTTGTGAGAACCTGGCAAAATCTGTTGTTACGGGAAAAGATTAAGCTATAGTCAATAGTTCAATGTTGTACTAGAATATTTTGTGTGAAATATAGGATGAAAGGTTACAACGTGGCCAATTCCATATCCTACTCCATATCAACCCTCGATTTATACCAGCCTTCAGGCCTCCAGCTCCAGGCTGATATCTGGGGTCCCAGGTTGATACAGAGTTGGATATGTAAATGGCTATATTATAACTTCTAACCATATCAGTTTATACCAGCCTTCAGGCCTTCAGCTCCAGGCTGATATCTGGGGTCCCAGGTTGATAAGGAGTAGGATATGTAAATGGCTATATTATAACTTCTAACCATATCAGTTTATACCAGCCTTCAGGCCTCCAGCTCTAGGCTGATATCTGGGGTCCCAGGTTGATACAGAGTAGGATATGTAAATGGCTATATTATAACTTCTAACCATATCTGTGTTGCACCAACTTTGTTTACATTCAAAGCAACAGGTTTGATAAAGGACACATTTTTAGAAGCAATTATTCTCATTATTTAAAAAAAAACAAGTTTGATTAATTCACTTTGTAATATCCTTTCAAACTTTCAACAGATTAATGAAACTTGATGAAAGACACGTACTTGAAGACATCCATTAGCTTTAGTACACTTGTCAACTGCCACAAACACACTGAGGGCATCAGGGGTCAACAAGCCATTCTGATACCAGTATCTGGAAAACAAAAATGGTATTTCTTACATAAAATAGTAACAACTTTTTAAATGTATGCAATGTGCTGTCACTGCTTTGTAAAGCTAACTTGCAGAATAGCCCCCCACCCCCTACATTGCAACATAGCAGGGTAACACAGCTGATCCTATACTCCCTGTCTGAGAGTGACCTACCCATGGTCTTGGTGCCATTCCTGTTTGCTGCCTATTACAATATAGCAGGGTAACACAGCTGATTCTATACTGTCAGAGATACCTACCCAGTGTTGGTGCTGTTCCTGTTTACCCCCATTACAATATGGTAGGTTAACACAGCTGATTCTATACTGTCAGAGATGACCTACCAATAGTGTTGGTGCCATTCCTGTTTACCCCCATTACAATATAGTAGGTTAACACAGCTGATTTTATACTGTCAGAGATACCTACCCATAGTCCTGGTGCCATTCCTGTTTGCCACCTATTAATGGCTCCTTCATCATAAGCTTTGAGCTGTAATGGTACACCTCCCCTCCAAGTAGCTGAAAGAAATATAACAATATTCAGCTATAATTTTTTATCATATTCAATTCTTTTTTTTCTTTCAAATAAAATAGACATGCAAAGTATCTGCACAGAAACGCTTCTATTTAATAACTACCTGACTGTTCAGTGTGTAACCTAAACATGAAGACTTGAAGTAGTTTTAGGGATTATTCATGCTATTATCAGAATTATAAAGTTTTAATATTTTTGGCAAAACTTCAACTACATGTATAGCTAGCTCTTCATCTGGGAGTTTGTGATTTGAATCAAATTTCATTTATCAGAGCTATAAGTGCAACTATTACCTTTTCTGATGTGGTAACAATTTTTTCACAGCGGCAAATCATACCAGTGACATCACTTCCTGGTGCTCTCCACAGTACCATCTTTGGCATTCGACCCGAAGAATCAGGAATCTAGATTATTGTACATAAAAACTTGTGTTTTAATTCAACACATCTTCATAAAAAAATTGCATAAGGAAGAAATTCTTGGAGACTAATTTTGGCTTCATAACAATTAAGGGTCAGACAAACAATCTACATGTTTGACGGTACCACTTTAAAAAAAATAACTTTTGTAGTTATTTTAAAGTTAATTGAACCTGTATTAAGAAACCACCTGCAATAAGAGACCACATTATGGACTTTCTGTCGGTGGCCTCTGAATACAGGTTTGACTGTCATAGTGTTTTTGTGGGAAGAGAAGGAGGTGGGTATATACATAACAGGTTAAGTTTATTTTGAGCAGTACAGAGTGAAGTACAGAAACTTGATTGTCATTAAATAATCAGATAAAAAAATAAAGTAATCAAGTCTATGTAGAACTGTTATACCTACCCCATATCCATGTGTCAGTACCAAGTCTGAAGTCTATGTATAACTGTTATACCTACCCCATATCCATGTGTTGGTACAAGGTCTGAAGTCTATATAGAACTCTTATACCTACCCCATATCCATGTGTCGGTACAAGGTCTCAAGTCTATGTAGAACTGTTATACCTACACCATATCCATGTGTCAGTACCAGGTCTCAAGTCTATATAGAACTGTTATACCTTCCCCATATCCATGTGTCGGTACAAGGTCTCAAGTCTATGTAGAACTGTCATACCTACCCCATATCCATGTGTCAGTACCAGGTCTCAAGTCTATATAGAACTGTTATACCTACCCCATATCCATGTGTCGGTACAAGGTCTGAAGTCTATATAGAACTATTATACCTACCCCATATCCATGTGTCGGTACAAGGTCTCAAGTCTATGTAGAACTGTTATACCTACCCCATATCCATGTGTCGGTACAAGGTCTGAAGTCTATGTATAACTGTTATACCTACCCCATATCCATGTGTTGGTACAAGGTCTGAAGTCTATATAGAACTATTATACCTTCCCCATATCCATGTGTCAGTACCAGGGCTCAAGTCTATGTAGAACTGTTATACCTACCCCATATCCATGTGTCGAGACAAGGTCTGAATCTTCCAACACATGTTTCACCTTAGTCAGCTCTTCCTCACTTAGCAGTCCCCTTAATAATAACAGGAATTAGTTTCAGTGTATATTTCAATAATAAAAAAACACAAGTCATACACACCTGTATTTTAAGGGTAACAATAACAGAGACTTATAATTTTACAAAATATACTGCACATGTTATTTAACACACAAACATTTAAGCCTAGAAGTATAGAATGTAGACAATTATTTAAGTATCCTGTTGGAGAAAACAAAGGTTTCCCAAATCTGAACCACTGTAAACAGGAAACAAGAGGTTTGCTTTATCTTCAGACCAGTCCATTTAAATCATATTACAATATCAACAAATTTTTCCACTTAGATTTCTGTTATATTTCCAATACAACAGTTAAACAATAGTTACCTGACAAGAATGTATCCCTGCTCCTCAAATGCCTTCAGCATTTCCTCTGTAACTTCTAGGTCAGTGCCTTCCATCTTGAATTCTGGTAATGGAAATATTGCAGAAAACAAATGAAGTTGTTAATCTGCATGCTACAACATTCCTTATATGTGTACGCGTACTTCAACGAGAGGATAAGAAACCTTAAATACTGTACATGTGTAATTTAAACTTTCAGGATTACTTTATGGTTAATGATGATGGAATTGTTTTCTCCAAAAGTAAATTTCAGTTATGCATGCTTATAGTGTTGAACTTAACTCATCTGTTTTTCAATAACAGATCTGATAAGCAACGCAACACAGGTATAATTTATAGGATAATTGAAGATCCGAATGTGGATGCAGGCTCTGTGTATGCATCTTTTATCTGAGTGGTTGGTTTAATGATTACTGAGGTTTTTTTTTAACTTTCTGGTATTAAATGACAATGATTTTGTATATATGAGCAGCTACAAAATGACACCAGAATTCACTGACTTAGGTAAATTATACAACTAATTAATTCTGAATGAAGTTTAAAACTTTTCTAATGACCATTCTACATTATCTTTTATACATTTTCCTAACATGACCTCTTGTTTGGGACAGTTACTATTGTCGTATTGGATCAGATATATTTTCAGGTCATAATAATTTCACATCTAAACTTAAATGTTAGCAATTTTAATTTTCTTATACAGATCTTTTCAATCAAATAAGTTTTCTTATACATGTGTTTTAATAAACTTAAGCTCAAACTCGCAAGTTTGTAAGTGTTGGTTCAAGTTTGGTCACTTACATTGTATCTCAAGATTTTAATGTCCTTAATCTTCTTCTTGAACAAAAAATCCCTACAATTCTTTCTACCTTATCAATGAGGTCTATCACTTTGTACAATACAATGTAAGTGTACAAATTGATCAGGTTATTGAACTTTGTCTCATCCAGATGTTTAAATGTTCTCCGTGGGAAGAGTCCCACTATACTGTTACTAAGGTTCTACTATAATGCTGCTCACGGACAGCTGCTGGGCTATAAATGATGATGATTCAGCTATCAACAACCAATGATGAAATCTAACATCACTAATGTACACAACAGCGGTGATTTCTAACATCACTAATTATATAATGTACACAACAGCGGTGATTTCTAACATCACTAATGTACACAACAGCGGTGATTTCTAACATCACTAACGTACACAACAGGGGTGACTTCTAACATCACTAATGTACACAACAGCGGTGATTTCTTACATCACTAATGTACACAACAGCGGTGATTTCTGACATCACTAATGTACACAACAGCGGTGATTTCTAACATGCTTTACTCACCTTCTAGTTTGGCCATGATGATTTGACAGTAGTAGATTCTGAGACTGCAATGTTGAAAAAAGTGATGTGAACATAAGCTATTGTTGGATTTAATAGAGAAAAAGGGTAAGTATGACTAAACGTTTTGGTACTCTGTGGTTTTGGCAACTAAAAATAGGATGTTTCCGTACATTTTTGTACTTGACGAAAAATGTCGAAGAATCTAAAATTTATAAAATGTTTGTACCAGTGCAAAAATCTAACAATAAAATATTGAAATGACTTTTGGAAAATACTGAAAGGTCTGATTCAAGTACCGAAACAAAAGAGTACCAAAACAACTGTACCTCCAGGACTGATACAATGCAGTTTCTATAATACTGAAAATCTGAACACCTTTTTATCAGAAGCAGGTGTGCATAACTGTGACAAAACTAATAAGTGACATTAAAGCATGATTTTTTGAAGAAAAGAATGGAAAATGGCTTATTAACCTATCATCTGAACAATATACAGGGATGCAGATTACTTATATGCATTAAACTGCAATCACAGTTGCCCATGTTCATAGGAATTTAAATACAAAAATACCACCAGAGGCCAAAGGACTATTACAGAAAAATGGACCTAGGGGTTCTGCTATTTCTGTGTTTATTTGTGTATGGAACCCATGCAGGCAAGAGTTCTACAATCTACTATAGTAACATTATCGCGGCCAGAATTGAATACATCCCTAGTCTGACCACAGCAACTTTTGACACTGGTTTGACAAATTAATTAAGACATGTTGGGAGTGCTATATATCAGTTATATTTACCTCAAAGCAATCCCATTTTCCCCAACTAGTTTCAATAGGACCCTGTTCCCTGGTACATGTACAATGTTTTGTTGGGGGAAGTGTTTTTTTGTTCTCTGCCTGTTTCTGTACCCTGACCTTTAATGAGCATACCAAAATTTTGTTGATATCATTCTTTTTTGAATAGTGAAACTACATGTATCGAGTAGGTTTTACTATGACTTTTTAATTAGATTAGAATAATGTAGGTGTAGAAGATAAAACAGCTAAGAAAAGTGTTTTTTTATGTAATTTATTGATTCTTTTTATTCTTAGTAAAATGTCTCCTTTGCAAAACATACAACTAGGTAAATAAATTGGTTATTGTGTCAACCTAGAGTTCCGAGGTTATGGGTTTGAATCCTTGCCATGTACTTTTCTTTCTCATGTTACAGTGGTGCCTGTGACCAACTCTTGACCTGAACTGGAATTGGTTGTAAGTGTCATCTTCAAGCTTTAAGGGTGAGGACTTAAAAGAAGGAATGTAGTGGAACTAGGCTGGGTCCACAGGTACTTGTGGACATGAGTGTGATTTTTCCATTTAAAAGTTACGTAACAGACAAATAAATTATTGTATAACAATCGCATGCTTAATTTCAAAAGTGCAACCCACCTAATCAACATCAATCTGTGACTCGCAGATACTGATAAACAGCAAACTGATTTACGCAGTCATAGAATTTAGATTTTACACACCATAGATAAAAGGTCTATTCAATATAGATTTCTTATCGAACCAAAGAAAGTTTGATAGATTATAACTTGAACAAGAACAAATACTTCTATATTACGTATTGTTATTAAACATGAGAAAATGTTTGTTATAATAAAGGAAGTAAAATTATTGGTCAGAACATTGGTAACTGGTCACGCGATCTGCTGCAGTACCTCGTGACTAAAAAGGTTAGACCAGATCTTTCATTAATCGACATCATTCTGTGACTCGCAGATACTAATAACGTTTAAATAAACAATTTAATATTAATTTAATAATTTATAACAGCAAACTGAGATACTTAAAGTATTGTATAATAATCACATTTAAGTATTTATAAGGCTATTATTAATTAAGATACTAATTTGAAAAACCCGTAGATTGGCAATTATATAGTCTTATTTAGTGGTTTATTACCAGCTGATTACCGTTTCGCAAGTTATCTGTCTGCCAGTAGGCCCTAGTGTAAGTGGTCGTCGGTCAGCTGGTCACGCGATCTGCTGCAGTACCTCGTGACTAACTAAAGAAGATTCAAATCAAATCAGTTTCACTCGTACATGTTTCCTGGCTTTAAACATTTGTTTTTCAGGAACCTACTTAATGTGGCATTCACTTACAGGTGAGTTGACGTCAGGTAAAAAGGATATCGGGTGCAGCCGATCTTTCTTAGTCTGATTTGTTTTTGTTTTACAGGAAGTCAGGAAACGTTAGTAAAGATTAGGTTAGAGTAAGTATGCGTGCTATAGTTTCCGGATTTGTCTTTTTTCTCTATCGAACGCATCGGGCTTGATTGTAGCAGGTTAGACACGAAGGCCAACAGAAATATCATATTTGTTACATCAACTTTTCTCCCTTGATATTTATAAGCAAAAATTCACAAACTAAAAATATAAAATGATAACTCAATAAAACTGACTTAAAGTAACAGTTATATGTGCTTATAAAGACGGTGTAAACAAGAAATGACATTTTCTCAATCAATTATTTAAAAAGATAAGATTTAGTTTTGATGTATGTGGTTATAAGCCTGAAATGGTTATGTACCTATGACATGAAACAGATGAAGGGGAACACGCTGACGCATTTTATGATTCGTTCAACGGGAAGTAACTCAAAATATGGTGTCCAAATCTCACATTTGAGTTCGTGGTTTTATACAAAGGAAAATATGCGCAGGCGCGTAACAACCTATGTAGCAAAAAAGCCCGGGCTTACATATCATTTTAATAATAAAAAGGCGACAAAGGCAATATGATACAAAATATTACAAAATATTTGTAAAATAATGGGGGAAAATAATATTTTCTTGCTTTAAAATGGCCATTGAAACTGACGCCAGAATACGGGAGAACGCGTCTCAGGCGTTCTAGAAAACAAAAAATCTCCTGGGGGAGACCCCCACAACCCACATCGATGGGAAGGGGTAAGACCCCCTAGCTTTTGCTTATCTGTGACATTATATAGGTCTATTGAGAATTTCACATCATAGATACACGTAGTTAGATACATTCATTTTTCCCCGTCATGAACTTATACAGTATGTTTTTAAGAGTAGTCCTAGGTCTATCTTCAGTAGGGCTCCTGGATATATATGTAGATCTATACATATATCTAAACATCGATATAGGAGCTACCGTCATCTTATGTTCTGAGAAATGTTGATGATATAAAAAGGGTTTGGTGGACACAACAGCAAAATATCTGAAATTAATCTGTTTATATTGGCTCCGACATTTTAAATATCTAGTTAATTTAGATTCATCAGGAAAGAGATATAACGCAACGGATATTTTCGAGGAGTTCCAACAATCGACACATTTTTGGCGTAGTGAAAAAAAAGGAGAGCTGTCTTTCGCATTTGAAAAACATTTGAATTTTTGCGATGCAACCAAAAATTGTTGTCTGTAAAATAAATTAAAACACTCAAAAATGTATCTAAAAAGCCACCAGATGACACAACAGAGCTTCTAGATCTAAAAAAAAAAAAAAAAAAAAAGCCGGTAGGGCATGCCCCCGTACCCCCCTAGAATGGATTCGCGCCTTCGGTGCGACTTTCTGCATGCATATCGAAAAAGCACAGCTACGCGCCTGCCTCCCATACCCTCCCCCTCCTCGCGCTACGCGCTTCGGTGTGTTGCCTTCGGCAGAACATTTCATCATTGGGCTTACACATTGAAAACCCGTTTGTTACGCCCCTGATGCTATGCAACATGACGCCACCATGGAAAAAGACATCGCAAATTATTGTTGCCTGGCGTCATAGTTAGGAATTCTGATATTGACCAATGAAATCACGTCCAGGATGTTACTCACTAGTGGGTAAACAAAAATGTTTACCAACTCCTAGCAGGTTCATGCAGAGAGTTGGGAGTGAGGACAAGATACCAGATACAAGAATTTTTATTAGTCGTATATGTTGTAATGGAAACATTAGCTCTGTAGCGCTATTATTACGACAAACAAAGGTATAAAAACAGGATATATAAGTCAAGCAGAAAACAACAGGCATATAGCAAGGTTTATACACAAACAGACAAGAAAAAATTAAATCACAGCCATGCAGTAATTAAAAACAAACTTGGCACGTACAGAACAAAGTATACATAAAAATCTATATTAAAATTGATGCTGCACAAAAGATTCATGCCACATGCTCACAAACTAAGAAACCATGGTTCAGTATATACATAAATGTCAATATGGCATGAGTTAAAAATTGACCGAATATATGCTAATATAGCATAAATTAAAAGATGATTTGACAAGCATTGCGTAAGTCATACAATGCGTAAATAAGAGCACTAAGCAAAAAAAAAATGAAAGGAATTAGAAGCATAGAAGCATGGTATCACAAGACATGGTAAAAAACTAAGTATAGAAATGATAAAAAAGGTTGAAACAAAACAAGACTAGATACATATGGCGCAGGAACACAACTGGCCGTCCCAAGTGTACAGCAGTCTGCGAAAGCTCTGGACATTTTCTCCTTTCCTACGTTCATTCGGCAAACTGTTCCACACTTGGGCAGCCTCAAAACGAAAAGACTTTTTCCCATACCTTCTTGTGTTAACTCTTGGTACCTGACTGGTGTCCTCTTGCCTGAAATTATATTCAACATTATTTTTAACAATCAAATCATTTGAAAATTCTGGAGCTAACCCATTTAAAATGTTAAAAACTTCTGTAGCCATAGTCTTCATTCTAACAACGTGTAAAATGTGAGGTTGTTTCTGCATAAAATATCTATCACAGGTGAGATAAAATCGTTTTCAATAAAACGCAGAGCTCTTTCCTGCATCTTTTCCATCTTTCGAGTGTTGCTGGGGCTACAAAAATGTCAGGCTAGGGGGCAGTAATTAAAATTAGATGAAATAAAAGATTTAAAAATGGTGATCTTTCCCTTTTTGGTAAGACTATTTCCAATTCTTTTCAAAATAGCTAATTGTTTGGAGGCCTTTCTACATATCTCAGATACATGGTCATCACATTTCAATAAAGAGTCGATCTCCACACCTAGCAAAGTAACACTTTGTTTACATTCAAATAGTAAACATGTAGTGGTTGTAGGAGAAAAATAATTTGAACACAAAATGTAAAAACAAATATCAAGATGATGGGTACCCGGTACCAGCAGAATTGATGCGTTTGAACAGCCATTGGATACAGTTTGTAACATAATGGAGTGAGTCTTGTGTTTCCTCCCTCTAGACTGATCTGAAATTAAGACGGTTAATTAGGACGGAAAGGCGACATTGAAATTACTTTGTGGAGGCCAGTTCCCTTCTTGTTAAAAGTCTTGGCATAAATAGTTTTAAACTTTCTGTAAAGATTTCAGTTAGCATTTAAATCAAGCATAATTCAAATGGGAATTGGAAAGAATCGTATATTTGGTGAAAAGAATACAAAAGAGCTATGGTGGAAAACTGCCCGTATTTCCCTAAGTCGGCATTTTTGAAAATGGAAAAAAATATTGATGAGTAAATAATCTTTAGTAGCAAAAATGCATGGAATAGATATAAAACCAATTGAATATGAATTTTTGAACTGTTGAGATATTCGGTATTGTGAATATAATACTGGTAATATAGCCTTATTCACTATATCTATGAAAGTGACTTACAAAAATACTTTCAATACATTTTCCCATCCGAGGACCAACTTTTTGAACACACTTTTTGATTCCGTGATGTAATATGCAAAAACAAATCGTATGACGGAAAAGTTGTCCTCCTTTGGGAAAGTGCTCAAAATAATGACAAACTGGGTTGATCAAGTTTTTAAAACTGCGACAGATGTTTTTTGGGTTTTTCCAATTGTGTAGCGACCGGAAAATGTGAACAGTGTAGGTTCGAATCCACATTTAGATACATATTTTTATCTTCTTTTTTTTAAAATAATTAAGTGATAAATATTTTTCAAATCAATAGAACATTTTATTGATATTTTAATAGCATACCTATTGATTTATCTTCTATGGAATCATGTCAACAAAACCCTGTATACGTGTACAGTACAGCTACGCTTTGTAGTTGAGACATCGTTTTAAATATTTACGAATTGTTTTACCCTCCAATTGGCACTAGTATTTTTATTTATTATCTTAACGCAAACAAACGATGCCGAAATACAAAATATATGGGATTGTTGCGTCAGAATAAAAACAAAGGCAAAGCAAAAAATATGAAGTGTTATCATCGCCAAGATATTACCGAACATGCGGGAAAATTCATCGTCGAGGCCAGTGTCATTTGTTTTAAATGCAGGAAGACTGCAGCAAAACGTTAGGAGCGCAATATACGTGTACGACATGCTATTCGAAAACTATATGTAATTTTATCATTCCAAGGTAAAAGAAGAACAAAATCAAGATGTGTCTTTTTAAGAAAACATGTAACGGCATGACGTGGGCAGTAATAAAACTAAATCCTTTCAAACTTGTTGGTAATGATTGTACGATCTTGTGTTTTATACAGCATAACGCGAAATACGCATTTTGTTGAGTCTTAATCGTGAAACGCATGTATAAGTAGCAATGGCCTTGAATTCGTCTGTTTACAATAACCTATTCTTAGACACGGGATTCCGATAGAGCTACCTGTACAGAAATACAGTACCTGAGGACGCGTCATAACAGTGCACGGTTGGAAGCGCGCACTATAGCGTATCATAGCTTTGGGGAAATAGGCATAGCAACCCGCCATAGCTCTTTGTCAATGGTAACCTGGGGATTCAAGATGCGATTCAGGCTGTGATTGTGAAGAGAGGATGCCAAACCGGGAATATGGATAGTCTGATTGAGAGAATGTCGATGCGTATATTGAAATCGGGGAACGTTTGGACCAGTGTGAAATGTTTCATGGATTTTCAAAAGTGGGAAAGATTTCACTGCTAAAGGTAAGTTTTCTAATCCTGAACAATATATCAATGTGTTTCTATAAACCAAATCGATGAACGACCATATTTCTTTTGCAGGTTTTGGATCATACTACGCTGCAAAGTAGACACATTGATTGCGATGAATACGAATCTCACTGATAATTATTTTGTAACTTCCTTATTGGAGTTAGCCAAGAGACAAAACAATGTTCAAGCTACTATTAAGCTGTA